CCCCAAAACCCCAAAACCCCAAAACCCCTCAAATAACAAAAATTTTAAATTGTATTTTGGCATTAATAATTTATAAAGTATAAAAATGGATATACAATTTGATTAGCTAATTTCAACATCAATTAAACGTCTAACAAGACCTAAATTTAAACACGAATTTACTACTTTCTACGATTAAAAATAGTTCTAAGCTATACCACTAATAGGCTAGCAACTCGATGAGTAACTTCATGAAGCTAACTAGGAAATGATGAATTCAAATGATATCACTTGTGATGGGATTGATATTGATTCTGCCATTAACTACAATCCATCATTTGGCAAAATATGCACCGGTGAACAGTTTAGAGTTCTATTCACATTGATGAATACCAATACTTAGTATAGCATAGAAAATATAAAAATGAAAGTTGTAGTTTAAAGGCAAAGTCTAAATCAACAGGCTCCACAAGGCACCTAAAGTATGACTCAGAAACCTAAGGAAGAAGTTTTAATGCATGAAGTTATCAAAAGTATTCCTGCTAAATCTCAGATAGGGTTTATATTCATGTTCAAAGTAGATTTTCAGGATAACTACTTGTAAGTTTTATGATTAGCTTAAATTAATTTAGTATGATGATTGAGATCGATTACACTTCCTAGTATTATTCAGAATAGTTAAAGAAATTCTTTGGAAACTAGCCAGATATAGATTTCAAATAACTCCAAAGTCCTTAATATGAAATTGACTATAATAAAAAGATAGTAGTGAGAAAATTTAGTAAGAAATATAAATTTGAAGCTAATCTACCATTTGAGGTTAGAAAGTCTATAAGTCTTAAGAATGTAATAAATTTTTAGTTAATATGAATTTAGAACGAGTTTATATTACAGATTAAGATTAAGAATTTGTCTGTGAATAAAATATTCTTAGAAAAAGTTATATTTCACTGTTTGAATAGCATCCTCATGAAAGTAGTGGATGTAAATAATCATGTTGTTTCAGGGTTAGATGATAACGACATTGTTTCTATTTTTAATGAGTCAATTGCCTTCAACCCTGGTGAGATACGACAGTACTTATTTATAATCTAGCATAAAGATACTGCACATAAAATCAATAAATTTGAAATGGTAAGATTATAATGATCAATTTGTTACAATCAAAATAGTATCAACTTGGCCAACTTGAATTAAGATGGGTTAATTATTTTGGGGATGCTGGACTCTTAAAAATAGGGCCTTTTAAGTACAATGCAGAGTAGAAAACCAAATTTGAGATAGATTTAGATGTGATTTCTGATGATTAGATTTTAAAACTTGAGGAGCCAAAGACAATTATGTTTAGATTGTATAATCTATCAGCAAATGTAATGAAAATTCAACTCAGTGTTAAAGAAAAAGAAGTGGGGGACTTATTAATTTGTGGAATATCTCAATATGTAATGTTAAATAATTAATTTATTTATCTTATCAGAACTTTGGGAGACTTGAGCCTTAAGCCAGTGTAGACTTTGGTTTGGATTTATTTCCAAAAAGTTGTGGAGTCCATCCTGTTTGTGGACTTCTTATTAAAGACCAAGCAAGTGGAAGAGAGTGGATTTTCAAGAATGTTGGAGAATTCCTTGTCGAATATGAATGAAACAGATTAAATTTTATTGTTCTGTAATCTTACCATTTTATGTCCTCACGGGGTTTTGGGGTTTTGGGGTTTTGGGG